CAGGGAAGTATTCACATCTCCCAACTAACCGTGACAGCAAAACACTGACTGCAACAAAATGCTCTTAGCATGCTCCTACTCTGTGCAAAGCCACTGAGCATCACTTCAAACTCCAGGGCCTGAGGCAAGGGATTTCTGAATGAAAAGACCAGATTTTCCCCTTCTGCGAAGAGAGAGAGGGCATCCCTGCTCGCCAGCCTCCCTTCCTGCAGGGCTTCTCCCTTTGCTGCTCGGTGCCCATCTCCCAGAAGATCACAGTCACCAAACGGCACTGAGGAAGGATGCTGTGGCATGCCTGTCCCTCTTCACGGTCAGGCAGAGGGCTCTGCTGGATGCAGCACACCAATTGCAAATGAAGACTCTAGTCAAGCAATAAGCTTGGAGGGTTTGGTGTAGGGATCCAAACAAGGGCAGCCTGTCACAGCAGAGATAAGCAGCTGAGCTGTGAGAGCACCTTGAAAGCAAATCAGGGAGGAGCATCAGGAGCAAGCACAAAGATAAAACAGGGCACCCCTGCCTCCTAGCACAGTGGCTAAGGGAACAGAGATGGAGAGGCTTAAAAGTTTACCAAAGACATTACTTTATCAAGAGTGAATTTCTGGAGAGGGCATGAGGTCCAAGCTCTTGGTCATGACAAACAACGTAAGAAGCGACATGGAGTGAGATGAGACCCATTGAGTGTCCTCTCTCCAGCACTGCCCTACAGCACATGCTTAAGAAAACCACATGGAAAAAAAACCCAGGCAATAAAGAGTGATCTTTTCTCCTTCAAAAATAGTAACCTCCATCCTCACTTCTCATACTCTGAGCTACTGCATGACCCTTGCACTAGTCCTGGAGAGGCTGCTCTGCAAGGAGGGATATTTAACCCCCAAATGAAGGCAACTCCAGAGTCAGAGGAGCAGCCCACACCTCTGTCCCTTCCTGGGCATGCCAAAATGCCCAGGCAGGCTGGCCAGATTCACCTCCACCCAGTTATTTACTGCTTTTAACCCACATGGTTCAGCTGAGTTCAAGGCATCCGATTCTCACTACTGTGAGCCAAGGGAGAAGGAGACTTATCTGCATGCTAAAATACATCCAGGTGAATATACAGCATTTATTTACAAGGCATGTAGGATCTTGCTGTTGTTTGGATCTCTTTGTTTTCTTTTGTTCTGCTCACATCAGAAAAAGGCAGTATGATAAGAAGACGAAATCACTGGTACAGCCCATCAGCACTGCTAGAAGCACAGGTGACTTTAAATATATCTAGCAGCCTCTTTAGACACCGTAGGACAGGGGTGTTGTGGCTGGACCTTTTGTGCTATTCCCAGAGCACTTGGCAACCTTGTTTTCAGGCCGTGCAAACAGCAGCATTACTAATGCAGCTCCTGGAAGGGCAGGGTTGGAGATGTGCAGAGCCACCTCACTCTGTGTGTTGCAGAGGGCAGACACCAGGACAACATGCAGGGAAGAGGAGTGGCATAAAACCCTCAAAGACCTGCAAGAATACAATTCCAGCGTGAAAAGCAGCAAAATCCCACTCACACTGGGATCTGGGATATTTTGTAGAGACATCTGCAGGTCAGGGCATAATACAAAGGCTTTTTCTTACACAACTTATTAAAAGCACTACTAATAATACACTGCAAGCCTGATCTGAAATAACCCTTGCTATTTCAGGTCTGGCTTTCTCTAGTGCTGTGCCATCCTCTGTACCCGTGCTGAGGCAGATAATCCTCACATGAAGGGATTGGGCTTAAAATATTAGGAATCCAACATGGAGCCTGAGAAGAAACAGAAGACCAGGATTACTGCCGTCCCAAGAGCCACACTCCTCACACACGACTCATCTGATCGCTTGGTACACGTGGCTGCTAACCTTGCTGCTGCCCTGCCTCTTTCAAGATCTACAAACAGGATTCAAGCTCCAAAGTCACTAAGATGCTTTCAAACATCTTATTTACAAAAACTGGTGGTTTTGCACCAGGGAAGACTAAAGGTGAATCCGTCAGACCTAGAGCAGCGCTTTTGGAAATCCTTCCCTGGCTGGGAAATTATCTTTTTCTGTTAGGGGTGCAGAGCCCAGGTTAGCACCCCTGGCACAGCATGGAGCTGACGAGCAGCCACTGCCACCAGTGTGCTGTGGCCTGGGTGTTTTAGCTGAGGGCTGGCATTTCAAGGACACGTGAGAATACAGCGAACAACTCCACGAGTCATTCTTAGGTAAAAAGATGTCCTACAGGTCACCTGGCCCCATGATACTCCCCACCTCCCCAGGACATAGGGCTGTCATAAAAAAGGGAAATCTTCTGGTGAATCTTACTGTTCAAATATATTTTTTTTCCCCTGATGTGAGAAATTTAGTCTTTTGTAGCCTATAGAGCCTCCAGATGATGGCAAAACTGAATTTCAGGCAGTTTCAAGAGTTACAGTTTAATCTGAGAAAATACTGCCTGTTTCCAGAACTGTATTCAACGCATCTTCTGAGTACAGGCACTTAACCTGCATTTCTATTTTTTGAGCCTCTGAGATAGAGAAGTTTTGCGATGTACGGGGGTAACCTGCTTCAGTATTTACACTTTCATAGTGCTGAGACTCCAAGTCCCCGCAGCGTGCTCCTCACCCCCAGGCCAGGCAGCAACCCCTGCCAAAGCACACAAAACCTGGGGTGCCTGGGGAGCGAGCTCCCCTGGAGAGCAGTCAGTCCAGCATGCTTTTGCTGATCTAGCTCCGTTATCAATGAGTGCTTTGCTTATGATAAAAAGTACACAGGCAAACACGGTGTGAATGACCTCGGTGAGAGTGACGTCGGCATCTAGAGAGACACTCCAGAAGGCTGTTTTGGCTGGCCACGGATCTTTTATCTGCAAGGCAGCATAGCTCAAAAATGCACCGAAGACTTCTCTGAGCTGTTTCTATTACTGCCCTCATCACCGGAGTAGCTGAGGGCCTTCAGGTCCTGTATCAAGCAACATGACAAACACATCACACCTGGTTCATTCTCTCCTCCTCTTCTGAAGAGGAGAATGTAAGTGCAGTAAATTGCTTTCATAAGGCTTTGATTTTCTCTGTCTGGGCTGTTGTGTCTGGCAGGGGAAGCAAGGTGAAAGCAGCATTTCTAATGCAGTGAAGAAAATAGGATGAGGTTTCTGTGATGGTCTCTGTTTTCTGTGGAAGGTAATTCTGGAGCCTTGGCTTGGGTGGTCTTTGGTTTTGGAAGTAAAAAGTCCCAAGACCCTCAAGGAATGCAACTGTCAAACCTACTCCCCTCCTAAGGCTTTTCCGTAGATACCAGACCAAGTGATGGGAGCAAACCAGGAGACTTCAAGCCTGACTCACACATCTACAGGAAGCCAGTGCAGAGAGAGGATGAGTGTGATGGACTTGCATAACTCATATCACGCCGCAGCATTCAGCATCGGCTGCATTTTCCTGAGGGCTGATGGCTTAATGCCCAGACACTGTACATTTCATTACGATAAAAAGACCTACTCAATTAAAGAGCTCACTCCTGCAGCCCTTATTTTCAAAACAACACTTGTATAAACAGTCCTATGGCTGACAGCAGGAAGGTTTGCATAAGGAAGGACAGACCCTTTGAGCAGAAGCGGGATGAACAGACCAAGCTAAGTAAGTGCACATAACCCAGCAGAAGTGTGCTTTTCAGTATGGGTAGTAGTAATTTCCCCTAAATAGAGCCCAACTTTCTCCACTGAAGCAACAAAAATACCTAAAATAGTGACAACTGCAGGTTCTTATGGAAATTTTCTCCCAAGCACTGCTCTCCCACTCCCTTCTCTGAAGCAGACTTCAAAGTGTTTTGAAAAGTAAGCCAGGCTGCAGCACTTTCCCTGATTGGGAATATTGTTTTTAAACCGCTTACTGCAGATTCCTGCTCTTCCAGTACAGCGCAGGGTGCAAGGCATCAGCACTTTCTGCACCTCCATGGGAGGACAACCACCCGGGGAAGGCAGAGTGCCTTCAGCTCTGCTCTCCTCCTGCCTGCATCAGCTGGCCTTGAACTATTTGCCTGCAGTGTTCGTGCACTCACATGTAATGCGCCGGGTGTTCTTGGCTCTCCTTCCACAAGCCTGGGAAGCTCCTGGTGAAATGCTGCTGGGGACCAGTCACTTGGAGGGAATGGGATATAGGAACAGAGAAGGAATATCCCAACAGCATCCCCTCCTGCACTGCTTCCCACCGCTGGAGGAGGCTTCATATCACCTCGGCAATTCTCCACTGTGAGAAGGCATACTGAGAATTTCATTTAAGTGTGAAATCTCCGCAGAGAACCAGAGGAAAACTGCCTCAAATCCATACAGATAGGGTTTGAAGTTAACTAATCCCACAAATCGGAAAGGAAATAAGCTATTCATCATTTTCTCCCAAATTAACAAAGATCAATCACTAATAGCAGGCTTACAACAAGAAGTACGGGGTCAGCACTGGGGATTTGGGGACTAGGTCAAAGACGACAGAACAAGACTCTGCCCTTGAACTGGACCAGGGCAGAATGGCCTCAGATAATGCTTTAACTGTGTGACTTGAAGCTTTCCCCAGCTCTTCTCTTCCACCTCTGGCTGTGGCTGCTGGAGCACGTCCCTGCCAGCTGTCTCCCTTTCTTGCTGAAACCCTGATAGTGAGGATGAGCTTATGTACCTACACCTGATGGCACTGGTTCAGATGGACACTCAGACCAGTATTTATCTAAGCACATGCTTAACTACACCCCTATTTAGCAAAGTACTTACGTATAGGCACAAATTTATGTCTCTATGGCTACAAGAGACGTAAGCCTGTTATTAACACTTTTTTTTCTCAATCAAGGCTTATGGGCCATTCTTAGTCGCACGACGATGCTCTGCATACGTGGAAGGCCACGTTTCTCCTCTGCTTCTCAGAGTCCCCTCTCGCCTCACCATGCAGGAGCCAGAGCTATCCGCAAAGACTCAGCAGCAGAGAGATGGTGCAGAGGAGAGCGTGGTGGAGAGTGCAAAAGGCAAAGCAAGACTTACGTTGGTTTTGAGGCTTCAGCCTGGTCAGTCTGCAGCTTCTCCCCACCTTCGACTTCCATGGTACAGTACACAATGCGGTTGGGGGCCAGCGACTTCAGACCCTGCACCTCCATGATGACAACCTGCAGGGCAAAGAAAGAGAAGTGTAAGAGGAGCAGCCTCCTTTAGATCTCGCTTTGCTGAACCCATGGGGTCAGCCAGCGCTGGGGTCCTCCATGTGCTGCTGGATGTTCCTGGTGGCAGGTGGGCAGGGACGGTGGCACTGGCCAGGCTGAGCAGGGACTGTGGCAGTCAGCGAGGTCTGTATGGAGACCAGGAGGTCTCCCTCCGGCTGCACAGAGGCTAGGTTGGATCCCTTGGGTGCCCAAGGCTGTACCAAGCTTCAGGAGATGAGCCTCACAGACATGGTCCTGCCCCACCTAAAAGTGCCTTAATATGTGAAATCCAGAAAAAAAGCACACAGCTACTCAGCTTGTGCCAAAAGCCTGTTTTCAAGATTAATCATAGAATGGTTTGCGTTTGAGTTTTGAAGACCATCTAGCCCAACCCCCCTGCCATGGGCAGGGACATCTTTCAGTAGATCAGGTTGCTCAGAGCCCCGTCCAACCTGACCTTGAACAATTCCAGGGATGAGGCATCCACAACCTCTCTGGGAAACCCATTCCAATGTCTCACCCCCCCTCATTGTAAACATTTTCTTCCTTACAATCTAAATCTACCCTCTTTCAGTTTAAAACTGTTGCCCCTTGTGCTGTCACTACAGGCCCTGGTAAAAAGTGTTTCTGCATCTTTCTTATTAAGAAGTCACCATCTAAGTGTCTTGCAGGTAATTACCTTTTTTTTTTTTTGAAAGGTGATTAGTCCTGTTAACCGCATACCTTTAAACATTTCTACAAGAAACACGGTGGGAGTTTCTGTTTGTGTTTTATTACAGCTACCTATGAAGTACATACACAGGGGTTTAAAATTCCTCTCCTCAGGTCTTCTGATCTGTCCTTGCGTTAAGGATCCCTTCCCTGGCCCACAGATCTCTGCAGACCCTCCGATGAGCACACATTTTCGGCAAAAGCTCTCTTGCAGCAAGTGTTTCATGCAGAGTCATGCACAGACCTGCCAGCTCCTGAAGTCAGTGCTTCACTGAGCTTCTGCTTCCCACCAGATGGGGTTCAGCTGGAGCAAAGTGTCTGAGACATCCCGTTGTAAAGGCGAGTCCCTTTACACATGGCTAGACACGCTGCACAGGCTTTTCCAACACAGAGGTCTACTGCTTTGTGATAGTTCCCTGCTCCTCCATACGGGAACGCTTAGAAGTCAGGTTTTATTTGATGTTGCTGTTGAAGGCACCATCTCTGGGTTCATAGTCCTATTTTAAAATAAGACTGAACTGAATATTATAAAGATGGTTGCAGGCATCCAATGAGTTAAACTCTTAGACTGGACAACCAGCGTCATTAAGTTTTGCATTGGCGTGATATATATAACAAGAGACCCCTTAGGAAGAGAAATAAACAGGAAACTACACAAAAATAGAATTTTCTGATTTTTCTGCATCCTACATTTTTGACCCCATCCTGGTACTTGTTTTGGCAATGTAACATAAACCCACTCACTGACAGACAACACCAATTCTGTATGGCTGTGCTGATGACCGCTTGGAGTAAATGTCTTGCCTAGACCGCAAATATGTTTGCACAGAACAGTTAAGTTGGCTGAAAACAGCTACTGCAGCAACACTGCTTCCAGGACTGAGACAGCCTGTGTTGGAGGTAATGGCAGGGCCCCTGCAGCACCCAGCCTTTCCCTGGGCTGTACAGACAAACTGCTTGACAAAGCACTGAGTAGAAAGTCAGTGTTCAACACAAAGCAAAGAGCAAGCCAGCAATACACAGTATTTCCACACAAACTGCAAGTCAGTCTGTTGGGTGCATTCAAACCCCAGCAATTTTTAACAATTCGCCAAAGAGGAAGCAAGGCTTGCAGGGAAATACACCACTAACTGTCAATAATTAAACACGCTGACATTCATGGTGTTGCATTTTTGTACTGGTTTCGGGGACAATACAGGCTCGGTAACAAGCCACATGAAGAGGTCAGTCAACAATGCCCATTTCTGAGCCATTTGATATACATCATCAGGAAATGCCGGACGGTTTATCTCACACGGTTTGTTCCAACAAGACAGTGAGACACCAGAAAGGACACAGTGTTTGACCACAGGCAAAGCTTCTGGCAACTCAGAGAGGAGCCATTCCTCATGGAGATCAGAAAGTGACTTCTACTGAACTCTCTCCACCTAACGTAACTTTGAACGGAGCAGAAGTCAGCTGCTGTGATTTCTATTCCCACAAACGTTGCACACTGTCGTGTGCGTGAAGCTTACCTCCAGAGAGAACGACAACACAACGTCTGACTTGGACAGCTGGTTCTCGTTTTCTTCTCCCATGTCAATTATTGAGGTGTTGTGACTGCGCTTCAGCTTCTGCAGCTTGAACTCGGAGCCTCCTTTAGACACAGGCATGCTCTCTAAGTTTGCCATCAGGAGATTGACAGATGACTTCAGCTCCTCAATGTACATGTTTTCCATTTCTTTGGACACAAACTTCGGGAACTTGCGCTCCTTGGATTTGGAAACAAAAACAACAGAATGAACTGCGGTGACAATCAGCAACCACTTGTTGCACCGGCAGAATCCCCCAGGAGCATCTGCAGAGAGGTTTGCGAGCAGGGAACTCCCACAAACCAGATGACAAATTACAGTTTCCCCCTGTGTAATGTAGAACCGTTACTGTGAGCTTCCCATAGAATTACTACTTGGTACTTATCCAACTTTACTGTTTCTTGCATGCACTTGCATTTCATTCATTTTTCTATCTGCAAATGGCCGCCTTCATATATATGTATTCACAATTATAAACACTCCAGGCCTGATCTCAGCTGAACTTTGTGATTGACAGCAGTTTACTAATGATTCAAAGGATGCTGACAGGGACTTGTTTTCCAGTCTCCCAGATGTGCCACCTCTTTTTAAAACACTTCTGAGCAGTTGCTCCATTAGTTTTCTAGGTGTGAAAGGAGCCCAAGGAGGGAAAATCAGCAATGTGAGGGCAGGAATGTGTGGTCCCAACCAGAAGAAGGGGTAAAACACCCTTTCCACTACTTTCCAGGACCCATGTCTTCCTCCAACAAGACAACCTTCCACTGTGAGACCCTCCAATGCTGCTTGTTGGAAACAGGACACTTAAACGTTAAAACCAAAGCTGACAATGAGAGCAAAATGTGATGTGCCCCGAAGTGTCTTCTCAGCTTTGAACTGCTGCCCATGCTCCAGCTCCATTAGGATCACTAGCCTGAGCCCTACATCTCCTGACAACTCTGCCCACGCCCCGAATCTGCTCAGGATTTGAACATCTCTCAGTGGGTTACGAGAGACTGTGCAAGGCGTACAACAGCGAGGCAGCATCTGCAGCCAGGGAACTTGAGGCTGATGTGTAAAGTATCTTAGTGGCAATTCATAATATTGTAAAAAGCAGTTTGTAAAATGTATGCTAGAAAAGAAAACAAGGTCGTGTTTCTTCTAGAAGGCTGTCATCGGGCTGCTGAAAAAGTACTCTGCTGCACTAGTGTTTGCATCAGTCCTCAACAGCTTACCCACTACAAGCTCCCAGCAGCACTCACACCAAGCAGTTAAAATATAGTCTTCTGTTTCCAGTCTCAATCTTCAGAAGCAATTCCCTCAGGTAAATTAGACCTGGCGTAAGATAAACTACCCAATCAGTCTGGTTTATTGTCTATGCATTATAGAAGTTGCAAGCCACCCCTAGGAAAAAAAACACAACTGTTTTGTAGATTTTGAGAACTACTGCTGAAGCGATGATGTTCAAATATTATTGCTTTTTCACCCTGCTGCTATCCAGCTCTCCAGGCACTGCAATTTTGGCACTGCCCCCACAAACCTCTTCAGAAGTGCAGCAAGGACTGAGACATTTCACTGTGTGCCAGCAGCAACTTCTCATACTAAGGCTAAAACCAGGTAGTTTGAAGCGATGCGTAACAATTTAACTGGGACTGGGTCTGATGATGGAAATGCAGAGATGCAGGTGTGGTCCCAAGTTACCCATCGGACTGGAGGTAGAGCTGGGGGAAGCCTAGAGGAAGACACAATCAAGGGATGCAGACAACAGCAAGAAAGGATGCTAGTCACCTCCACATGCAATTGGAGCAGGGAGAGGACCAGAAATGGGGACAAGCATGGAGAGAAGCAGAATTAAGAGACTGCAAGGAATGACCAGTCCAGCAGGCTGAAGCAAAGCGGGTCCAGCCCCAGATGGACATACTGTTCTGGTGTCACCCCAAGGTCTCCTTTAGTTGCCCCTACACATGCTCCTCCTTGCCCTTGAGGCCAGGTGACTGGGTGGGGGGAAAGGCACCACAGGACAGCAGAGCAGTTGCTACTTCAGAGAAAAATGTACCCCTCTGCCTTGGCATCACTAAGCTCTCAGCTGAAATGCTGCTCACATTTAGCTGCTGGAAAAGGACAACATGCAGAGTGAAAAGCCTGTCCAGATTCAGCTTTAAAACACCTGCTTGACTTTGAGTGTGATCCTCAAGCTGGCTGGCTCCAAGGCTGGCTTTACGTGCTTTGATGGAGTCAGGCTCAGCGGGGGACTCTGCCTAACGCTGCACCGGTGCTGTGCTGAGCTGCGCTCTCCTGGGCACACGAGGAGGTGAGAAGACCCAGAGCTGTGCCCTGGTACCCAGATGCAGGACCTGGTCACTAGGAAAGCTGGCACGCATGGTGACTTGTTCAGGGTCACACGACAGGTCAGACGAGGGCTTGCAGAGCCACCAGTCCTGCAGCACTGCGATCCCAGGTCCCGTTAGACTCCGCAGCCTTCGTTGCCTCTGAAGTACAAATGTCCTAGTGTGAATTACTTAATTTATTAATGAGACGTTAATTTGCCTTCAGCATGGAATCTCCAAGACGGCCACCTCAGGGCTGGTTTCATGAGCACAGTAAGTCTCCCTGTGCAGCAAATCTGCATTAAAAGCTGCAAACTAGAGATAAAATTGGAAATGCTATCCTTTCATTGAGCTGAACTGTGAATCTGCCCTATGCTAGAGGGAAAGTAGCCTTGCCCAGAAAGGAGAATACAGAGAGGGATTCAAAAGGTCATTTGGATGCCTCCAAAAGATGGCATTCATGGGTCTGAAAGAACAAGGTTTCTTGTAGGCAGGTGCTGGTAGAATATGACATTCTGGAGAGAAGGCCTGCAGCAGTAATGTGAAGGAGATTAAATATCAATACCTGCCAACTGGATCACAGGTAAGTCGCTTTTACTCTAAACCACCCCCCAAGCTGCACAGCTGTATTTTGAAGGTTGAACAGGGAAATGTCAGGTTACGTTGAGGACCTTCCCCTGACTGTCTCTCACAGGGCCAGCAGTGGCATGGTTTGTTTTCAGCATCCTTGGGGAAGGAATGGAAATGGCAAATTCTCGTTTGCAAAAAATAATTCATGAAGCTGCAGCCTCTGCTGGCTGCTACTGAACCATGCATATTGTTGTCCCACATGCCATAAAGAGAAAATGAAACACGGAAACCAGGCAATATCATTCTGGCACCCAGTGCCTGGCTACTCATCTCGGAACCAGAGCAGCAGCGCTTTGCGCAAGGGCTTACATTTTGCCGCAAATAAAAAATACTGTAGGTTTTCTTCACAATAAAATGGCAAAGGGCCAAATGCTGAACAAAGGAGCTGCAGTCGGTTTGCTGCTTTGCTGTGCCATCGTTCGGCCACATGGTCCTTGGCCACCTTACTATTTTTATCAGTGAAGTGGGGAAAACCAGAACCTCCCTCCCCGAAGACACAACAGCAGTAGCTGTTTAACAGAAGCGTTAGTGAGGAGTAACTGCGCAGGTGCTACCGGCATCCTTGCTAAGGCCCGACCGTAAATGAACGGGCTCTGCTTTTCACACCCAGGGATCTCAGTGTGGTCGCAAACAGCTCTGGTATTACCTTTCTCATACAACCCCACCATTTGGCACAGCTCAGTGCCAGGAGGGCTGCTGCTGAAAGGCAGGTCCCTAGCCTGAGCTACGTCTCCCTGATTAGACCTTTTTCTTCTCTTTCTAGTAATGGTTTCTTGATTATCCAGAACAGACGGATAGATCATTCCCAATGACTTCAGCCCCACTGGGGCTTCATCTGTGACTCAGAGCATCTGATTAGAGGCAAGGATAAAATCTCGGCCAGACTGATGTCAACAGGATCCAGGGTTTCTCTCCATCTACGGTCCATCGGAAGCCACGTAAATCTGCGCTGTGTGAGGGTGTGATTTGCTCCTAGGGAGGTGCCTCCTTACAGAAGGGTCTCTGGGGAGTTTAGCTGAGTGCTTGGTTAGGAAAACTGTTTTGAGGTCCCGTGTCTGCTGCACCGGACAGCAGCGGTGTCCGCACGGTGCAATGCTAGCCTGCCTGCTCTCATGCAAAGTGTGAACATGGTTGGGACAGCACATCTGAAGTACCTTTACTGAGGCGGCACCTGCCTACAGGCAGGGAACTGTGGCTCCCAGCAGCCCAGCGAACAGCACAAACCCCTTTAGGGCAATTCCTGGCTCCTTTTTACATTCCATCACCCACATTATTGCCCAGCACCTAAGTTTGACAAAGAGGGCTTAGATGTGCACTTGCAGATCTAGCTGGAGCACTTCAGGACAATTTCTTCCCCACTGCTGAGGATCCGTAAGGGATTTTACAGGGACCTAAACTGTCCCAGCTCATCAGGACATTCCAAGAAATGCACATCACAACAGCTTCATCTGTACTTATTCCTTTGTTTGCCGTTAAAAATCTGCACATTTTTAACTGGTGACTACTGGGAGAAGAAACCTGTGAGGAAAGGACAGGACCTGGGGGCTTCTTCAAAGTACTTTTGTGCTTCTATACGAAGAGTATGAAGAGCTGGTTAATACAGAAGACTTCTTTTTTTACCTTGGCAATTTGCTCTGCCATTTGAAGACGTCCATCTAACTCGCGTCTGATCTGTGCTGCTTGCTCATCTGGGTTGTCCAGCTGTATAAAAACAAAAAGCAAATCAAGGTGAAAAATTAACCAACGCAGCACCTTTACATGTCCTTCAGGCTGACCATCTGTATTACAATTAAGTATAGCATAGAGGGAGTGCTGATGAGCCCCGCTCTGGGTCAGAGCCCCGCACGATGGACACACAAAATGTTTACTGGGTCCCCAGACGGACACGACCAGGGAACTGTGCAGACCCTGTTTTGATGCCTGCCCAGCTGCCTCCGGGGGCTGAGCATCCTCACCCTGAGGTCTTACACCCACTTTGCCCTGCGAGCCAGTCTGGCAGCAAGCCTCACTGGCGACTATCTGAACCCCTGAAAAGCGGGGTGCCCTCCAGAGGCTATCGCTTTGCTGGCGCTTGGGAAGCCATAGGCCCCTGCACTGGGGCAGGACACACAGCAGCTCCAGATCGCCAAGCCAAACACCCCCTGCCCCTGCTTGCCACCCAGAAAAAGACAGAAGGCGGCTCAGCAGAAATGCACAGCAATAACATTTGCTTATTTTCTTTCCCTTTTCCCCATATTGCTGCATCCCTGTGCTACCACCCGATTCGTGCAGTCAGATTTCCTGCTGCCTTCAGCAGAGATCTTCTCCTTTTTTTTTTTTGCAATATGCTGCCCACAGCCCTGTGGTTCAGTGGCCTGCCTGGCCCTGAAATGTCTTCTGAGAGTAAAATGTTGTTTCTGCCAGTTAAGCAAGCAATTACAGCACACATGGAGGAGGCACGGTGACTGCTGTGAGCAGTTTCCCATCGGAAGGACTCGGTGCAGATCTGATATTTTTAGTGGGAATACATGGACATAAATTACAAAACAACAAAAAAGCACAAAATCAAACTAGCCCCCGAAGAAGTCCATAGCTGCTGTAATGAGGTGGCAATTTTAGAGCTGCCTTCCAGACTCTAACCACGCTTTAGACTCCTTTGGGGTCATTCTGGCCACAGCACAAGGCTGGAAACGTGCGGCAGCACGGTGGTCACGGCATCGCTCCACCCACGAGGCACAAAGCCAAGCTCAGCCTGGGGCAAAACCTCACGGTTTTGTTTCACCTCTTCATGCAAACATGACTTCAGACAGGAGGGCTGGCTCCTCCATCCAAACGCCGCCTTCGTTTGCAAAGTATCAGCCCCTTCTGCCCACCAGCAAGCCGCCGTAGGTCAGCTCTCCCGCTGACTGCTACACATAAATGAGTTTTATTCACCGGCTTGGGCTTGCGCTAACCACCTCCCTGGGTTTTATCTTCCTCTGGAGACAAACTGCTTGACAGAAGAAAGGCGCAGCTGGTGCAGTGCAGTCTGGAAAGTTACCGCTACAGAGACAACAAAAGTTTCGATTCTCAGCCTGACGAAGGACGAGCTCGTCCGTTCGCGCTCCCTGGATGGGCTGAAACATGCTGCTTTCCCCAGACTCACCGCTTTCCACGGCATCTTCTCAGCCGTCTGCCTGCACATCCTGCATCTTCCCTCTACACGAGCACACCTGCATGCGTGCAGGCGTGTGTTTGCATATTGCTTCACCACCGATGACTTTCCAGAGAGCTGACATTCATTACGACTGAGGCTGAGGGAAAGTACATTTTTGACTCCTTTCTGAAAGCCTCTGTTACTGATTTAATACAAGCAGGAAAACTACAAAGGGTCCTGACTGTGACCCAAATCCACTGAAGCTTCAGTGATCTCTGCTGTGGCCACCCAGGTTTCATTCACACCGGCTGCACCACATAACCTGCTGTCTTCATCTTTATATTCCTGATCCCAAAACCAGTACAGAGCCATGGACCAGCAGCACCTTTCGGGATCAGCTGCCCCCATTAATTTCTCCATGAATAAATGCATCACACAAGTGACCTCCACCGATGTGCAAGCATCTCTCAGAGCTGCTTCATTAAGGGTAGGAAATGTACAGTCCCAGATTTCCATTTCTTTGCAACTCTGAAAGAGGGGGCATTATTTGAATTCCATCTGAGCTACAGTAATTGAGGTTAATCACACACTACCCAAAATAACTCATACGCTAAATTTAGAAATCAAGGATGCTGCTGTGGAGGAGAGCTGCTTTTGCAGTATGTTAATGAGGCAGCAAACTGCCACACACTTTCTGCACTATCTTGATTTTGCAGATGTTTTCCAGTGATGCTACAGGTGTCAAAAACCATGCACAAGGAAAGATCTGACTGCAGAAGATTATTTTTCTTAAGAGGCAACAAGCATCCTAGGCAGCCTCCTTGGTTGTGGTCGAGTGGGTAAGGTATTGCTTTTCAGGGCTGTGCTTCCCGAGATAAATTAGTGATGCCAAGCCAGGTAACCTGGTATTTAAAGGAAACAATAAAAAAATCTTTCCAGGCTGTATTTTCAATGACTCCGCATGACAGCTCCATGGCAAAAACTGATCTTTGGGAAAGCAATCACGGTCTGTTGTAGCCAACGTAACATTTTCTTGTTATCTACAGAACAGCACTAATGAGGCAGCCCCTGCCTGCAGTCCCGGCGTGTCCTCCTGGCACGTTCCAGCAGACCTCTTGTGACTGAGAGCAGCAGCCCAACAGCTCAGCCACTTACTGCTCCTGAGCCTGGGAAGGGCTCCTGCTGCCGCCAAAGCAAGCCAAGTACCTTTTATGCAATCATAACGCTATTTTATATATATATATATATATGGCCATTAAGGGACTGATGCTGGTGCCCATAAAATATACTTTACTTGTGAAATAAGGTGAGGGGCAAATGTAAGGCATGCTATCTAAGCAAGACCAAACATCCAAGTAAGGCACCACAGACCCTAATATCATTAAAACTCAATTTCTTTACTAGAGAATCAGCTATTTATTTTCTGCCATATGTATGCCCACTTTATATTCAAATACTTGACAGCCAAATACAGAAATGATTTACAAAGTCAAGGAGAAATTGAATTAGTTTCGTTCTGCATTATGACTATGTTACGGGTGTGATACGAATAAAGCAAAGATGTAAATCATAAGGTTGCCCCAGTCAATTACATGTGAAAAGTATTATAAATTTCAGTATATATATGATTTGTCATATGCACTGGGTTTTTCTTCAGCAGCATGCCACAAATATATGACGTACATAATTTGCAATTCTCAACTGATCATTACCCAACTGCCTGCTGGTAAATTAGGTGTTTTCATACGTCTACTCACATACAACATTAGTTCTCTCTGCTTGCCCTGCAGAGGTTATCTACGTTGGTGTAACAGTTGCTAAAGTAAAACAATAAAAATAAAATAAAATTATGTAGATCAGATTCTGAGTGGAACCCAAAATTTACCAGCACCGCAGCCAGCCTGTTGCTGCAGGCACCGCAGGGCTTCTGCCTACCTTTAACCCCTGGTGACAGCTCAACTGCAAGAAAAAGATCTTGCAGAAGACAGGTTTTTTAACATATAAGCTGCTAAAAAGGGATAATTTTTAATGGGCACTAGTAAATGAAAGAAAGAGGTTAAAAATGTTCATCATGCAATTTTGACAGTATTGATCCCAGTAAGAACCAGTCGCTGCTCTGCAGAAGAAACCCTTTGCTTCCACGACCGTGAAACAAATTCACTGCGAGACTTTTCCTCAGGTTATCCCAGAGGGATGGAAGATAATCTCACTACACCTTTGAAACGCAGAGGCAAACAAACCAACCTAATTAAGTCATTAGATCTGCAATAAGATGTATAGGCACCTACCAAATCCACTCCTAAACTATTTGGTTGCTGTGTCAAAGACCTCCCACGTCCCGCCCAACCTGAGCCTTGCAGTTTTTAAAGCCAGGAGCGCAGGCTCACCTCCACTCACCCCACAAAACGCCAGAGGCAGTTCAAGGACACTAATGGTGTTCAGGCAGACTTTAAATTCCTGTGGTTTTAGAGTTAATGTGTTACATATTTAAAGCTCCAGCTTCAGTTTATCACAGCTTGAAGCCAAAACGTGTCGATCATAGCCCTGGCTCCGAACGTGATGCCGGGGCGGCACAGGCTGCCCTCCTCTTCCCTTCTTCGTGATGCCCAAGGCCGTTTTGCACAGTTTAACAACTCAAACCAACCCGCCTGCCCGGGGACCGAGCAGGGTACGGCCCTTGTGCCATCGGCCACGGTGAGGGCTGCAGCCGGGGCTAACCCGCCCAGCCTGGGGACGATGCCAGCGGCACAAGTGACGTGCCGCAAGCAGCGCTCAGCCAGTCGGTAAGAGAAGAACAAATCCAGCCGTGCCACCGAACGCTATTGATGGGGCATGCTCCCAACAGACACGGGCGAGTTAAATACCACACGGGATGTATACCCATGCTCTGAGGTCAGCACTGTCGGAAATAACGTTGTTGTAAGCTACGAGGGTTTATAATGAAATACGGTTGTTGTAAGCTACGAGGGTTTGTAATGACAGGATGCAACATACGGATACAACCTTCAATGATCAGCCTGGCAGTTACGCCACGCGCCGCGGACGCGACAGGTATTGTCAGTGTAATTGCCATCAGCCCCAGCCAGAAACCACTGGGACCATTTAATGGTTTAACCCCTCCCTGCCAGTCAGTGCCAATACTGATCCCTGCTTCCCAGCAAGGGCAGCAAGTGTCACAACATCCCCATTCCTGAGGCGTAACTGGGGCCTGTCTGAAAGATCCCCTCCCTTTGAGAAAGGTTACAACGTGGTGGTGAATCCAGCCATCCCCCCTGTGCCACGCACTCCTGCAGAGGACAAGCCATTTGCAACGGGGTTCTGGAAAACCACACTTGAAATGCTCTGGCAATGCGAACGCTGAGCTGCAGCAACCCGCTTCGTGCTGCACTGGGAACAGAAACAAACCCAGCACTTCACCTTCTGGAAATGAAAGCATTTAGGCCAGGTCTCCATGAAATCTGCAGCCACCGCCTGTGCCGGTTTTTCACTACAGCAGGGGCGGCACCGAGGGATGGGCGATCCCCCCTGCACAGCTGAAGGCAGGCGCAGACGGGCTGCTACCGGAGCAGAGACTGCCTTCGCTGGG